TGGTGACAATCTCTGAAACTAGTGGGGTATACACATCTCGATTCCACTTTCTGGTTTAGGTAGAAAAATGTTAAACGCAATTCTTCGCCTACCAGTCGCAGCTTTCTTATCTCTCCAAACGAACCACTAAACGTCTGGTCTAGAAGTGGTTATGACCAGTATAGTTTATATGGGCGTGCTCCGCATTCGTCAAACATTATTTATTTATTTTTACTTGCAATGTAAGATTTTCAACCTATGAACACTGAAAACTCTATCCTAGTAATAAGGAAATTCTGTACATAAAACACACACAAAAACTGGCCTCTATTATTACAATGAGAAGTTTACTTGGAGTGCCTTAAGTCCAATATATCTTAACTAAATTGCTTAAAGAAGATTTCGATCCTTAACACCACAAAACATTTTCATACGGTAAAAATAGAAAATCACGCACGCCAACTGATAGAGTTTCTAAGTAATAAATATTAATTGACGATCTAAGAGTTTTCGAGAAGTAAATTTTCCTAAGGGACGCTCTTATAGCAATATACATTTAAATTCAATCTAAGTCCAATTACATAAGAATGTAAACCGAGTATTATCACAGTATAAAGAAACACAAAAAATTAACAATGAAGCAAAGTTTTTTTTTTTCTTGTTGTTGGTGGGGGCCCCGCTAATTTTATTTATGGTTAGCTTCGTAGGAGTGGGCCTTGATGTATGGCGACTTTTACGGAGGTTTGCCGCGATCCCGGGACCTCCCATCTGACAACTTGTCGGTTATGAGATCAGAACTGGCGGGAACTGGTATTGGCTGACATAAGTGGTTCAAGTTGGAGGGTCTCGTTTGAAATATCGTCTAAATATTTACATACTGGTGTTTTCATAACGGTTGTCTATTGTTAATTTCAATAAAATCATTGATGGGACTGTTATACGAGAACTCGAAAATTGAATCAACTAAACCTCACAATAATAGGTGAACTATATGAAACTTATTTACTATTTAATTTAGATCAAGATGTATTGAAAATAATTTTTTTCACGAGTGGGAAAGGTAAAATTAGTACATACTTTATTCATGAAATACGCGATATAATAATCCTAATTTATCTAATGCTCCAACAAAGACTTAAAGAAAGTAAAGACACATTTTGGCTTTACACTTTCATTGCTTTACATTCTTATTTATATCCAATAAATTGTGCAGAATGAATAAATGAGTAAATATCTTCGAAAATCAACCTTCCTACTAATATCCCTACTTATACAATAAGATGAAAAGTCCGTCACAGTTTACAAATAGGATATACCATTGATAAAAACGTTCTACTCAATTGATATCCTCCAACGTTCAATTGAAATTCCATTTGCTGTTAAAACCACTATTGAACCAATCCTATCAATTCGCAAATCACAAATTACCTACCACATAATTGATTCTTCACCGTCACCGCAAGTAAAACAGGAATTGCAAACCTGCGAAACAGGTTATTAGAACGAAAAGTACTTTTGGCTATTGAAAAACCGCAGTACAAAATTCGTGAAATCGAATGGTTTCCTAAAATTGTGTTTTTAATTAAAATTCACTTAAACTTTCCTCAACCACACCTCCGCATATGTGGTTACTGGTATAAGGCTACAGTATGTTTTATGTGTGTGTATTTTGTGTTCATACAATATGGATAAGTGTTAAGAAGTGTTAACAATTGGGTGCAATGTACAATACATGCAAAGGCTGTCATATTATAAAACAATACAAAAATAAATATGCGTATACCATGTGTTTGTCCTAATTGATGTGTGGTACTAACTGATTTGTGTTGTGTATCTATACTATTTGAATCCGTTTTGTAGGTTTATAATGTCTGTTATGTACTAAGTGGCTACGATTAGATGTATGTTATGTGTCCATAGATCAGATGTAAGTTATGTGTATGGTGTGATATGTGTGTCTACTACGAGGCTACGATGTGTGTTATGTGGGCCGGACGCCCCGTTATGCGGCGAGACCTGCATTTGTTTGCGGAGACTTGAACGCTGGGTCGGTCTGAACGCGTCCACTCCAGTGTGCTAGACTTGTTTGTTTGTTTGTTTGTACTCTAGATGCCTGAGTGACACTTGTCTGTATGCCAAGAGCTTATCAAGTACTTACAAAATAACGCTTTCCTCTCTCCTCTTGACCAGCTTTCATACCTTAATTTGATACTTGGTCGCAGGAAGTTATCTTTGAAGAAACTAGAAACACCTAGTAGGCTACTCGCAATCGGTTTAGCGATGAGTTAACTACTAAAAGGTGTTTTTCTCTTGCAATATTCTCGAACATTTCTTGAATTGATCGAAGTTTTATTTTTAATTATTTAAAATGACTTGCAGCAATTCCAGTATGTTATGTCTGCGACTGATATGTAGAATTGCTATAAGTTCTTGTGCTATAGGCTGTGGTTTTATGTTTACTGGTCATTTATAGTTGCATCGACCACTTTGAATATTTTTCTCTCTAGTATTATAACTAAAGATTAAAACACACATTGAAATATCATCTAAAGAAAAAGATAACATTAGACGACGACAGCACGCTCAACCGTAACGCATGGGTACTTTGATTGCCTTCTAGTTATTTTAATAGCCTTAAATTAACCCTTGACCTCTCGTATGATGACCAAAGAGTAACTAGTGCACATCGTATAATATACCCTAATAGCGTAACATAGGTATACAGTGCATTGGAAAGATTTTTCTCAATATTAAAACAGTACAACAGGATAAGAAGGCTTGCTGTTCTTGCAGGATCTAAATGCATTACTATAACTAAATATAACGTGAAATAAAATCCATGTTGGTGTTAGACGTCAACCGTGTTGTCAGCTTGGAAATACTGCCAGGCATTGCGCTCTTAATTTGAAGCAGCATCCTTGTCTTCAGTGGCTAGGATGAGACTGAGACTGTATTTTGTATGATGGAACATGTCTCCTGGCCCTCCACCTGGGACTAGTCCGGGCCTAAAACCATTGGCCAGACCTCGTCAGGAGACAGGTTCCATCATACAGACTATAAGACTAAGACTAAACTGAGGACACCTATTAAAATAAGAACACATTCAGCTTTCTTCAGAACAGAATTACTGTACACAAGAACTTGATCAAATGTCCGGAAGGACTTTTCAACTCAAGACACGGTCGACGCCAAAACCCTCTATGAATCCTAATGTTTCGGGTCGCGGAAGCGAGAAACAAATTTATCAAACATACAAAATGCACTCCACCCGTCAAAATGGCGTACCACAGGTGTGAACCTTTCTTTGCACCATAACAGTTCTAATTAGCCTAACAGGACCGTACAACCCTGGGAGCCGCGATGTTCCCACGTCGAGGTTACGTCCACATGTACAGTACATCGTAACTGATACCATTGACTTTGGATACTCAAGTAGACATTCCTATATAGCTGAGTGATCATAGTGATTGCCTGTTGTTCAAGTGTTTGTCTGTTCAGTCCTGAGTCCTGATAAAAGTCACTCTTGGTATTTCTCTCAGTGATTAGTAAAGAATCAGATGATCTTTAAAGGATAAAATACAAATGACACACACTCATCTCCACCTTTAAAGTAGGCCCTCTTGTTTTGAAACCGTAGTAAAAACCTAGTATAATCTAAGTTTCTAGCGCAAGGTCCTTGGAGGAAATATAGAAAGGGATTAGCCACTCTCTCGATACACGATACACTATCTGTTTTGGCCAGCTAAGCCAAAACAGATTATCAACATCGATTGACCTACAGAAGCAACAAAAAATTAGAGCACTGTTAGGTCGTAATAAAATTGAACATAAACGATTTTCTCCATTGCTCAGATTTACAACTAATTATTTCCATCGAGTGAGTTTTACGATGCAAATACCAAATAACTATAATCAAAGCCATAACCTGGAAATCACAGGTCGTAATGTCTTAGGATCCGTTATTGGGTGAAATAGTAAAGCTTGAATATCAGTGTCAGACTTTGCCGGAAGAGCGGAATAGTGGAATCGGACCGGAACTCGAGTGAACCGTGAACCAGGCTGGAGCGTAGCTTCGTTAACTAATAACTGGTTAACTACAACTGGGAACATCGTTAGCTTGGTAGCCATGTTGGCCTGTGGTGGTAATGGGGAGTGGAACATCTTTTAGAAAATGTATTCCTACAACACAGTTCAAATCTGAATCTGGTTAACTACAACTGGAAACGTCGTTAGCTTGGTAGCCATGGTGGCCTGTGGTAATGGGGAGTGGAACATCTTTTAGAACATGTATTCTTACAACACAGTTAAAATCTGAATCTGGTTAACTACAACTGGAAACGTCGTTAGCTTGGTAGCCATGGTGGCCTGTGGTGGTAATGGGGAGGAGTGGAACACCTTTTAGAAAATGTATTCCTACAACACAGTTCAAATCTGAATCTGGTTAACTACAACTGGAAACGTCGTTAGCTTGGTAGCCATGGTGGCCTGTGGTAATGGGGAGTGGAACATCTTTTAGAACATGTATTCTTACAACACAGTTAAAATCTGAATCTGGTTAACTACAACTGGAAACGTCGTTAGCTTGGTAGCCATGGTGGCTTGTGGCGGTAATGGGGAGGAGTGGAACACCTTTTAGAACATATTCCTACAACACAGTTCAAATCTGAAGCTTCGTTAACTAATAACTGGTTAACTACAACTGGGAACATCGTTAGCTTGGTAGCCATGGTGGCCTGTGGTGGTAATGGGGAGGAGTGAAACATATTTTAGTAAATGTATTCCTACAACACAGTTCAAATCTGAATGTTCTAAAGTCATATCTTTGACTATCAATACACTTCTGTATCCAATAGTCAATGGTCATACTTTATCCTCGAGTTACTGTACTATTAAAATACTGAACCACAATCTTCCTATCACACTGCAAACATGAAATTTACCCAAACGTCTTCGTTCGTAATCACAGCAAAAACTGTCTTAGGTAAGAGCATTTGCCTTTTACTACTGTATTGGTCACCTACCTTTAGGAAGAGGTTGTTGTCCTGGTGGGGCAACTGCAAGAGAAACAAACGAGAATTAGCGGTGGTTTAACGTGAGGAACTAGGCCGAGGGTTTCACAGAGACAATAGAACCTAACTACGCGACAGTTGGTGACTACAGTAGTAACACAGAGAGTGGCGGGACTTGAACATTGATTTGGAATATTACAAGTAGACTCGTCTGATGTGTTGAAGTGTGTAATGTCCTGCAACTTTTCCATGCTCTGAGGTAAACTAGTCTGTATGAAGGCATAGATGAAGTATTATATTACTTCATCTATGATGAAGGTACCTGTCTCCTGCTCTTCGTCCTGGGACTGTCTCAGGCCTTGAACCATTGACCAGTCACCAGGTAGATCAGGAGACAGGTTCCATCACACAGACTATAGATGCTTCCTTCTTGTTATGGAGTAAATTTGACAATGATCGCTTTATTTGGTGATAAATAATGATAAGATAATTTGGTTAAGCTAGTTGTAAAGATGGTAATACAGCAATACATAAATAGTGAAAATGCATATATATACTGAGCAAAAACGTACCTTTAATATTGTCTTCAGCTGTTTCACGGGGATTATAGAGTGTGCTTAAACTTATGGAAAATAAATCCTCCGGTATTTTAATATTACTGTTTTAATCTTCACGACTTCACGGCACCGATTCGATTTCAACAGCTTCACATCCAAGTTATCGAGTTCACTTTCTGCGTCGTGTAACAAATGGACATCTTTGCCGATTCTTTTAGGTGCAATATACATGTGTAACTTGGTATTATGTCTTATCGTTTTATGCAACATTCATTATAAAGATTAGTTACCATTGTAAGAAGTTCTTTATTCGCATCTGATCAAATAAGTCCACCAACACTATTAGGTATGTGTACCTTTCAGCTGTAAATTTATCCAAGACCTTAAATATACATGAAATGTATAGCGACGGTTACCGATTAAACGACTCGCACAGATTATTGTTAGACTTTTCTGAGTTTTCTATAATTTTTTCGGATAACTATTCATATACGGTGTTAATCGATGAGCACAATGCCTAAGTGAAACATGAAACCAATAAACCCTCAACTGATCAAGAAAATCCCTAGCTTAATCTCCTTCAAAACAAGAATCCAAAAATAGACCATTGCAAAACCTCATCTGTATGTCGTGCAAAAACATGTATTAAGGGATTATTTGCGTTATCGAATTACATTGACATTCCATCGGCTCAGGTGACGGCAAAAAGTGTAACCAGCTGGCCTCCGGATCAGCTGGTCGAGAGAAGTGAGAAAAACAGGAAGGACTACAGGAGTTTCCGGCGTTTTCCCGCCATATTACACGGAAAGTCAGCTGTTCCAGTTGCAACACCAGCTGGAGATATAGCCTGGATAAAGCTTTGTCATTGGTGACCGACATTTCTCAGATCGGGTCAGTTGGGGAAACATCTCATACTGATCTTCAATACCACCGACTCCCCATGGTCCAGTGGGAAAATCTCCAGGAGTTGGCATTGCTTACCCCTGATTCTATACAAATCCATTCCGTTATGGTTACGTAATTGTCTCATTAAACTAGTAGTTTACGATCGCGTAAAGAAACGAGTAGAAAATGTAAGGTACATACAAGCTTTGACGAGTGCCTTTAAAACTTCTTCGAGTGTTTTAAAGGTTAATTACGCGAGTTGCGTACACTAATTTACCTACGACTGTTTCTTAGTTAATACAAAATCACTGCTCATAGCTTCCAAGAGAGGTTATGTTTTCGTTTAAAACCTCTCATCGCCACCGATTGTGATTCAACGACTCATGTCCCAACTACTCACTCATTGTATAATAAATTAAATTTCCCTTAACGGCTGATAAGTTGATGTTAGAAGCATTAAAATTTTGCTTCTTTTCGCTCAAACTTCATTGGTCCATAGTTGTACTGTAAGTAACAAAACAATGTTGTTAAGTAAGTAAACAATACTGTTAAGTGAATCTTTTCGATTCTAAAAAGCCTTATTCTGAAAAGGCTAGTTTTATAACAGACATAGGTAAAAATGTTTGAAGACCCAAGGTTTTATTTTGTATGTCCCTGGGAGTAAATCACCTTTTACAGCAATTTCAACACAGAAGGTTAGCGATTTCTTGTTTGATTACTATATTTGCAGCTCTTAGTAAACTAAATGGTCTTGATTGATTCTGGCCTTACCGTAATAACAAACTATTGAATACAAAGACATAGAAACAAAGGTATTGGCCCACAATTTGGTGATACAACAGGATGGGAGGTCTACAAAGTATTCAAAGTCTTCACCAGCCTTGCCCTTACATCATCAATTCCAAAACACTTCCATTCCTCTGATTTCCAAATCAGTTCATTTCCATCGAGTCCCGATGAATCTTCAGGCTTCTTGGCAAACAAGCGGACGATATCGGGCCATCGTTATCGTTATCGTTGTGCAACGATGGACTGTAACGACCCCAGCTCCCACCAGCTGGTTGTGTAACCTTATACCGGTTCCACCGTTACCTCCTGGCCCAGTCTGCGACCTGGTAAGTGGTAACTCTGCAGCCAGCGCCAGTGTTGTCCACATTACTCTCAACATGCTGGAATTACCCTTTTTAACCCTCAAAAACTGATTACCCTGTAAAATACCCAAGAGAAGTAAAACTACCTAAGAATTTCAAATGCTGATCCACACTCCAACTACGTCAATTACTAAAATCACTTTACTGCATATAAGAGGAAATTTTGAGGGGATTTGATTGGCCATATCAGAAACTGAGTGGTTATAATGGTCTCTTAACAACCAAAAGTGAGGAAAGTTTGGAAGCTTAGAAAGGTTCGAAATGTTTCCAAAATTTGGAAGACAAAGTATGAGGCTTGCTAAGAGGCTTCAGGTTGCAGATAATTTTGGGTAGTTTCCCCAGCCATGAGGTATCAGGCTTTTTCTTATCCCAAAAGGTTTAGAGTTTAGAATATGGTGTCAGTAGCTCCTTTGATGGCACAAAGCTGAGTCCATAATGTCCTTGATCATTGGTCTTTACGGTGGTTTTGGTTAAAGAAACAACTGATCTTAGTCAGTTAATTACACTGATAATCTCTATTTCACACTAAACATGAATTCACAGCTGCTTACACAATCTCACCGTATTATAAAATTATGACTGAATAAGTGGAAAAGTTTACTGTCAGTGAAAATAATAATCGTAATCCATATACAATATTCTTCATGTATAGGCCTATGGAAGATACTTCATGTTGATGAAAATGGAAGATTTCTCCACATGACAAATGGACCAATCTTACATTTTAGGAATAGCTTTTGATTTTAAAGTGATTATATAAGGTGAATCTGTCTCATGCTGCTTACTTACATAATATTTCCGTTGTAGCCACGTTGTTTTCGCACCTATAACGTTTACAATGTTTGCTTTCACAGATTCAACTAAGTTCATCAGGGTGACAAGTTTAATTTCACCCCTACGATTCCTACTATCAAGTCATGACTCTCACAGATCTAAACAAGCTCACCACGATAACAAGTTTAATTCCACCCTTTCGATTGTTTCCTTCGATTCTTTCTATCAACATGTTTAATCGCAGACCCAACCACCCACGAACGAGGAGGAAAATCCATAATTATTGTCCAATTTGCAGTTTCTCTGCGGAAGAGACGCAGTGGACACAATTACCTTATAATTGGAAGTGGTTTGTCCACCCATTGTATTGGTTCGATATTATCGGTCCTAGAACGACGAACTTTCACCGACTTGGAGCTTGCACAACACAACAGCCTGCGACAAACACACGACAATTGTGAGGTTAGGTTTCTGCGCACAGCTGATTTTACGCGTCATTGTCGATCAGCTGATTGAAAAAACCCAATCAGGTGATTTTACGGTTCTGATTGATGATTTATTCAATGGTACCGATATCGAACCCATTTGATACAGTTGTGTTTGTGCTGACTATGTTAACCTATAAGGATGATCGAGCAATGCACAGGATATTAATGTCATAATCATATTATCATTACATTAAGAATTAGATGTATTGTCTTAATTGTAATAAATGTGATAATCTAATACAGCTACAACAAGATTGCTCTCGAAGTGCTGCCTCCAAATATATTCTAGCTCAAGGGTAATTACAGATGCATATTTGAGCTTTACAAAGAATACATAAAATCAGCTGTCCATGCCAAGTCAGCTGGAAGGTGTTGACCTCCAAGCCATCGTCTTGCCGGTTTCAACCTGTTCGACCTGTCTTTTAAATTACACAGAATTAATGTCCGGCGATGAGCTCAGTTTCTTTGCCTGGTGAGATTTCGAAGTCTAAATCAAGATGGTTTATTTCCTTGAAAAAATCATATTTTGTGGACACTGAACTTTAGACACTATTGTAAACACCTCATCCCTTTAGTTGAGAAAATAATTGAATGATCACCTCAGAGGGTAAAATACTGTCAAAATGTTATTTTTCATCATACAGCAAAAAACTGATGTATACAATCGTGGTTGAAGTTGCAGGGCTAAAGTAGTTTTTTTTTACTTCATAGGACGTCGAAAAATCAGCTGAAGTCTAAGACTAGGACATCAGCTGTACATTGTTATAGCATTAAAATCCGTCCACTGATTTTTCTGAATATATATTCCCGATTGACCAGAAAGCTATCGTTTCGTTAATAAAAATGTGTTGTGTTCATCATCTTGTCATATTATAAATTAAATAAATGTACCTCTTTATCAAAATTTAGACCAATTAATGAGCATACAAATTCCTAATAGTTTTCCGAACGTATTGTTGTGTTGGAAGATTAATATATTGCATCTAATTGACAATTACAGCTATTCTTCTTGTTTTATTAGCGTATGTATTATAACAATGAGACCATTTTGGAAGGTAGTTTATAAACGTAAAAACATGTGTACGATGTTTACTTAGATTGTAAAATAGTTTAAAGAATTGAGTAGTATTACGAAAAATATAGTCCGACCTCGGGGCCAAACTTGTATTTTCGACCCTAACTCGAAGAAC